CAGTGAGATCGCATTGTGGACTGCAACCTTATAAACTCTATACAGAAAAGCCCAGTAGTGTATATATATTGGCTGTTACTTTCCTTTTTTATGCCCCATTGACTTCTTATAAAAATTACATCGCACATGTGATAAAAAAATTATTACAGCTTTTTAATAGTTATTGGAAAAAATAACTCGCCCTTAATTTATCAATATAACCTATTACTTCGCGTCTAAATCACTGTTTATCGTTCATTCATTTATTCTGTTTCTTTATCTCTTATCCTTTAAACGAGCAATATGTATATATATTTCATGATATATATCATGAAATTTAGTACGTGCAATAGATTCGGGGGCGAAAAATCGATCTAGCTAGGTTTCAGTCCTTTCTTGTAGAAAATGTCCTTTTAGCCCTGTTTTCAGGGAATGAAAAAATATCATTCTAATATGATGGTAAATTTCGCCACAAAAAAAAGTGTTATAATAACTCGGTCGGTAATCCAAAACAGACAGGCCCCAAAACAGACGGCCGCGGTTCATATCACGATCATTTACACACTTATTTTTTTTTAAACTTTTTTCCTATACCAGATTTTTTTAGAGCTTTCTTTATTTTTTATTTTTTTTATATCCATAATACATGATTTACCAAAAAAAACCGAGCAAAGCTCGCTCCTGCAATGAATGCAGATACTGCATTCATTAGTTCAGGATCATTAGTTGTTAGATACCTTAAACAAAGGAGCCATCTCAGCCATGTGGTCCAGAGAACGTGCGGAATAGCATTAAGGCAGTATTTATTTAATCCTTAGTGAAGGCGTTTCCAATAAAATATAATAGAACAAATAAATATAACACTGACCGGAATATTGACGTGTACTCTACACAGTAATAAAACTATTTTTTCGCACAAACGTTTAAACCTGCAAAATGTTGACTCTACCTTTATAATAATCCATGTTCTTTCTGGATTTAAAAATAAATGTGAATGATACGTGTCTCCTTTTACCAATAAGAGTTTTGAATCTTAAATAACTGAACGTAGTTAAGTTGGTAAAGAAAGCTTCGCTCCCTTGAACTCGTCACATCTAAACCTTTATCACGGTTTAACCGCATTCCAAGCCCGCAGTTTGCGGCTATATAATTTATATATATGCATCGCTTCCGTAAATAGAGAAACCACAGCTATACTATTAGCAGTTTTTTTTTTGTTTCCCGATACGTTTCCTTATATTATTCATTTTCTCACAACTAAACTAGAGAAAAGGTCAAAAAGACATTTCCTTTTAAATATTTATCTTATGTAGCGATTTATCTCTGACCGTTTTGGTCAGAGATAAATCGCTACATGACAATAGCGTCAAAACTAATCCAATACATTACTGGACTATTACAAATATGTCTCTTTATCCATATCATAGACATATGATTATTTATTATAAATGATTTTTATAAAAATATTTCTTTTTCTCTTTTCTTTAAAATTTTCCGCTTCATGGCTCGAGAAAATATCAAACCAAAAGCAATATAAAAGCCATATATTCGTTCCAACAGATTTAGATTAGATTTAGATTTAGAGGAAGAATAAGACATTTAGAAAAAGGTTAAATCACAATAGCCAAGTGATTTAGTGGGCTAGGTTCCAATTAGGAGGACACCACTAATTTAATAACTATTTATACCACATTACAAGCCAACCTGTTCACACCTAAGACAATGACGAATTCATCATTTATTTTGAATTTGTGCGTTGTGAAATTATTAAAGTGGGCTATGCTGTTCGTTACTATCTACCGATATCTTTATGCCATTACAATGTAAAGGAAATAACAAAAATACCATAAATAAATAAATAAAATAAAAATATCTCTTAGTACAAATACACATTTTAAAATTTACTGTGAGACCTTTTTGTATAGTTTCAGAATTCCCTTTACAAGCGAAACCAGCTCCGAGAATCGTTATCGCGCTTGTAAACAGAGGAAAACCCATAACTAATGATATAACTTTAATACCGCTTGGGATTCCAAAGCTCGCGTTCATTTTTTTCAAGGCTCAATGGATTTTATCCTGAATATATTTTCCTGCACCGCTGAAAACGTGACGAGTCAGCACTTAAAATTAACAATTTAAGTGATGCGACTTTTCAATTCAGGTTGCTCGAGCATATTACATTAAAAACGACCGCCAGGACACATATCACGGGTAGTCACGCGGAAGTGTAACATTTAACTCTGGTCTTCTGTGAGGCCTTGACCGAAACTTCCCTGGACGAGACTGCCTAGTCGTGCAACAGCCGAAGCTTATATGTAGCCCTACCACAACATTAAATACTTCCATCCTTTTATTATTGACATTCAACGCCTTCGAATAAAGAAGTGCTCCTCTTTAGTAATGGGTACGGTAAAGGACTGGAACAGTTTGTCAGCGTCATTTTACCGATTGATTATAATGTGATTAATTTCAAGGCAAGAGTGAACAGTCCGTTATATAATATCTTACTTATCAGATGAAACCGTAGTCAAACACTGGTCGGTTTTTGGGTAAAAAATAAATTGAAAAGATTGTTTATTTGACTCGCTTCAGGCGTGCAATAACCAAAGCTGCTTATGAATTCTCTTATGACCAACGATGACATGGAAGACAATTAATATGTAAAGAATGAATTAAAAGAATGAATGAAGAAATTTATGATATGTTTAAGTTATGAAAATTTTAATGTTGCCGTTTATATTTTTGTTTTTAAGAACTGTTTAGTGTAAGTTTTATTTAAACATTATGAAATATAATTATCGTGGCAACACCCGTTATAGTTTACAACAAATGAGGACTGATGATTTTTCAAAAAAATAATTGATAATCTAGAGTTGGTCATCAACAATGATTTAATTAAAAGTATGTTACAAAAATTACACACGTGACTACGTAACAGGAGGCGCTGCCTTGACCACGACGTCACGCGGGTAAAAACATGTTTCTGAATCATCTTTATGGATGCCAAAAATGTAGTACAAAACCATTCAAATAAAAACGTTCTTCAACAGTTTGACTAAATGACGTGTAAATATATATTTTACATGTTTTTAATAAATTATTTGTAAATAGACAATTATAATTCTTTTATATTTTAGTTTTTATTTAATCATTTATAGTTTTTATAGCACTTGTTCTTAACTCTACAATGGCGATAAAAACATGAAAAACATTGAATTTAGAATATGTTACTTACTAATATATAAATATGTATTATTAATCATACAAATAGTTCTAAAATAAAATATTTACGTTTATAAACAATTTTAATATTGCATGGACGTTGCAAAATGAATTCTGTAAAAGTCTAAATGAATTAATTGTAAACAAAGATGCTACCGTGAATAGAAAAGTAAAATTCAGATTAAACAGACAAGCAGTCGTGGCCGAGCGGTTAAGGCGTCTGACTAGAAATCAGATTCCCTCTGGGAGCGTAGGTTCGAATCCTACCGACTGCGTGATCGTAGTTTTTTTAGCTTTTTTGCATGTTTTAATTGAATATTTATGACTAAATTAAATATAAAACAAGTTTACATATAGTTGACATCTTTATCATTTCGGATACCATTTTTAGCTGTCAACTAAAAAAAATACCCTTAAAAAGATAATCCTTAAAAATGCAGCTACATTTTCTATTCAGTTATTGCAAACTCAAATGTCACATTTCATTTATGGCAAAGTACACAAAAGATTAGAAATAGCCTCTTTGTTAGAGTTGCTTTTCTGATCCTGATGCGAATGAATTGGGCTGGGAAACAACGGTCTAGCAAACTACCGATAAAAAATGTGTCGGCGTGAAGAAAAATAATTCGTCTTTTTGAGTGAAGTAAACGAGATCCCCCACAATACCAAGAAAATATATATATCGATATAACATAATATATCGAAAATGAAAGTCTTCCATACTTTGAAATGAAAGACTTTGCATAATAAATATGAAAATATTATATAATACACCTATCGAATAGTTGACCCAGGCGAAATATTTGCACATTCTCGTGATCAGTAACATAATGGTAACATAATAACATGCAAATAACTAATAAGTTTTATTAGTAAAGTTATCTAATCTCTAAGAATATCGGTAAAATTTCGCTATCTTTTATTAAAACAAATTGTCAATAGATGGCGTTATCATGCAATTATTATAAGAAGTTATTGAACGAACGTCTTTAATGCAAACATTAACTTTATTCTATTTCTTTTTTTCATCAATAGCGGGAAACATGATATCTTAAATAATGTCTGAATCGTTAAATTTGTTGAAAAATTATAAAAGTTATGGCGCTCGGATAAAACACCTTTGAGAAATAATAAATAGAGATATGTCATACATCGAAAAGGGGGATCCAGAAAAATTGCAAGATTTTTTTAATAATAAACATACCTTTTTTATGTCGTAAACAACGCTACTCCCAAAGATTAACGATTATTAGCCTGTATAAATGCGCATTTCAAAAATGTTCATTATAATAGTACATATGTATAATATACATTTTCATATTTATAATATGGTTTTCCTGCTATATGAATAATCAATATATTGCCACACCGTTAAATATGAATGTCCAAATTTGGTTATATATTATGCTTTACTAAATTCAGTTACAACTTTATCGCCCTTAGTAATTACAAGTTACAAAATATTTCCAAGTAATAAAAATATTACGCGTAAAGCACTGTATGCGTGATAGGATTGAAACACCTTAAAACCTGTTTCAAATCACAACTATACATATATAATTACACATCACGTCATACCTCAACTCTTCATATGCAGCATCTGGGAACATCTACAACGCGCGTATACCCCATCTGACCATTTGTATTGCGCGTATACGTCGCTCTTTCTTTGTGTTATATGTTGTTATATCTTTCTTCTCTCTCGTGTAACGAAGTATTCCTAGACGTAAAGCGTCCTTGAAATTTAACGCTCAATTCTTGTCTATTTATCAAATCGCCTTTTATTTCTTTGTTGACAGTAAGAACCGGCAGCCCTGACTACATGTGTTCAATGTTGCCGCAACATTGGCGGTCCAACAAGACCCTGCCTGGCGGTTTTAAGGTGGTAGCCCTTGGCGAGGTGCTAGACGGCACCCTCGTGACCGTCAGGGCTGGCAACGACGAGAACATAACCGCAGAACTAAGGAACAACACGGCCGTCATGAAGAACAGGGTAGCGAAATTCAATGACCTGAGGTTCGTTGGCAGAAGTGGAAGAGGTAAGTCTGTGGAAACATTTTATCTTACATATCATTTATTTTTATATGACAAACATTTAACGAGTCATACTTATCGTCCACTTTAAATAAACCGTTGCTTCATTAGAAAACAGGTATACGATAAAGTCATTTCCAATACAAAAGAATAAAAATTATTTCACATACCCAATAACGACAGGAAAATTACGTCGGCTACGCGTTACATTAGGTAAAATCGCAAAATAAATAACACCAACAGAAATTCAGGCTATCAATACCGATATACGTCAAATATAGATCAAGAAGCTAATGCAAGAATGTCCTAGCAAACCAATGGGCTGACAAATATCAGACGTGACGTAATCGATCGCACGGCGATCCGGTTTCAGGTGCAATATTCGGTGCACGAGAGGTGACAGCCAATCCTTAACTTTATATGTATAATATATTGTCTTTCTTATTGATATAAAACGTCTCAAAGCATTAATTAGATTCATGTGTGTGTAAAGGTTTAAGTCACTTATTTATTCTTACACGACGTACTTATTCCGCTGATGAATGCATAGGCTGGTCCCAGTATTAAGTAAGCCTCAAAAAACAACAATCTGAAATGGAAGTATTACAGTTTTCTATGAACTCTGGTGACGTAGGGAAATGAGATCGACTCTTATAAAGTAACAGTCTATACATTTCGTATTGCTGAGCAAAGGCCTCCTCTGTTATAACATATTCCACCACGCGATCCCACTGTAGATTGATGGACTTCACATATCTTCGAAATATTTTGTTCTATTATTAAACGAGTATATGCATGTTTCATCACGATGTTTCACTTCACCGCGCGAAATTAAATTTCTAATTAACGATTTTATTGGTTACGGCACCGGTAATTGAACTTAAGTTGTTCGAGTATATCGAATTAGAAGCGAGCGCCCAGAAACTGAGCTATCACAACTTATAAGGATTGACAACAGCAACCCTACAGATGATGTATAATATGTTCAAGAGCGGCGGTAATCAGTTAACATCAGACTAACCATTTGCCTCTCACACATAAAATATTCTATCCTATCAACAAACAAAAACGGTACCATTATCTACAAAAACGGCAAAAAAATCATGTTTGTTGTATGGAAACCCCACTTATTTTTTTTATTCTGTTTTTTAGTATTAACGACAACAGAAATAGATAATCAAATTTCAACTGTCTAACAATCACGGTTCATGAGATACAGCCTGCTGACAGACGGACGGACGGACAGACAGACAGACAGCGGAGTCTTAGTAATAGGGTCCCGTTTTAACCTTTGGGTACGGATCCCTAAAAATCCTATCTAAACTCGACAAAATATTAGTTTTTCTTTCTCCTGCCACTCTCCCGACAGAGTAGAGTCGGCACAACAAGTGATTCATGTTGTTAACTATATGATGTTAAATGTAGGTATGTGATATAAATAAATGAAATCTACTGTCCCTGCTAAATTTTGCAATATCAAAATTTCAGCCATCTCCGTACGCGAGTTACCACAAGAAAATTTTACTCTTTTTTATAGACAGAAATAAAATACAGTTCTTCTGAATATTACAATTTAGAAAGTTTCTTTCAGTATTTAGGAAACTAAAGTATATAAATTTTCTTTTTTAACACCTACATGACCGTGTCGTATGTTGAAAACGTAGGGTACGTTGCAACGTATGAAGCACGAACACGCTTGAAAACAAAATAATCGTTTGCGGTTAGAACAGTTACCGGTAATGTAATCACGACTTTGAAAAACTTAAACTTTATTTAGAGACTAATCTCTACTTTATATATAGTCTCAACCGACTCATGACATGGAGAAATACGTCTTTATAGTTTCAAGTTTCCTCAAAACCCATTATCCGATTCAAAATTAAAAAATAAAACATGTTACATCAGATGGTCTGTTTGTAACAATGGGTCGGCTACTATACAATAATATAGTATATTGTATAGTAGCCGAAAACATTTTAACTCTCTATGTTACTAAGTAATTGGGTTTCTATGAAACGTTAACCGAAAATAAATGAGGAGAGAAATATATGTAAAATATTGAGTTATTCTAAAATCTGAATATATTTGAAAAGTAATAAGTTCCACTAGTTCTATGCAATGATACATTACTACAACCAGATAGGAACCAGTTATTTTTTAAAAAACCTTATGAGCTCTTTTCAATTTCAAACTTGGCAACACACGAAGTGGTTCATCTGATGGTAATTGATAAATACAACAGATGTGGAAATGTGTTGTCAACCACTGACAGCCACTGCCTACCTCACTCAATAGTGTAAATAGTTAAGTTTCACGTCGGTTTTCTGCGATGTCGTTTCTCCTACCTTTCAACTTTGTAAGCTGCTGTTGCTCCAGCACAGTAGAACATTTACACCATAGAACAACTGTGAATGAGTAAAAATCCGGGATGGGCACCACGGTATAGTAAACTCGATGTCCAGCTTATCACAATAGCGCGGTTTTTAAGACATTTTCCGCCTCGCACATGCACCCTGTGGAACCAGCTGTCACCAGCGATCTTTCCAAACTTTAGTAGTGTAGTTAGTAAACGTGACTTTCTATAAAAGAACAAATTATTTCCTGAAAGGACGTCAGCCCATTTGCAAGCCCTACAGTGGTGATCACTTTCCATCAGGCGAACCTCCTGCCCGTTTGCCCCCTTTTTCCATAAAAAGCTGTTAAACTTAGGATGCAATTATCATATTATTCATACATTATTGCATAATATTGTATTGTAACATGTTTATCGGTAATAATTTCGTCCTTTATTCCAAATTCAAACTGCGAACAATGTACGCTGGCAACGCGAAACTTTCCCCCGATGCATCTCTGTATCAGAGAGGTCGGATTTTAATTTCCAAACCGCAGTCGGCAGTAAACGACGTTCGTACTTTACAGTTCCATTGTGTTACCGTGCGTTCGCGCATATCCACGATATTACGAACCCACATGCACGTGTAAAACTGATGTAAAGTCGCGGAGCATTCCGTCTTATAACTGGTCATCTCCTACAAGCCCATATAAAATTCCATGGCTGGCGGACCAAACGTGTACGATATTTCTAAACGCTTATATGTCAAGGCTTTCCGTCATTGTTGTGTATTCTTCAACTTCGGCCAGGTAACCTCAGGATCTCTCGGAGATATCATTTTTTAGCCTTGTTATAACATGTTGACTACAATATTAAATAGAATATAATTTTACAAAAATAGCGAAGAAATGAATTTAACCGATTGAAAGTAAACACCACGTGCGAAATAAAGCGTAAAATTGCCTAGCCTAATAAGTAGCCTACAGTAACATAATAATTACTGGTGTTACAAAAAGTACTTCAATCTTCAAATAATTAAAACCTGTAAGGAACTGACCATCCGAGCGTTTACTGAGGCTTGGCTGCAACGTTTACAACTAAACTTTATAGCTCAATGTTGAAACGCTAGCTTTTAACTCAATCAAATCTCGATGCCAACACCAACGATATTTTAAGTGCTAATTTATGTCATGCTCACCCGTGAATGTATCACCTAACCACCGTGAGAAACCTGCGTATTTTCAAAATAATAATTAAAAATTATTTCGAAGATATGTAAATCCGGCAATCAATAGTGGGGTATACTATTATGTAGAGACATCCTCAATTCAAATGTCGATAATTATAATTAGGTGTGTAACTATAATACCCGTAATACGTGAAGTTTGTGACGTAGTCATCACAACACTGCGCCGCTAATGCGACGTGATTTGATCGGACAGCGGCGAGCCGGGACTCGGTGGGGCGTACCAAGTTATCGATATCGATATTGTTACATATTAAAATCGGTCCAGTCCAGGACACGTTCTCATGGTACGTATCAAATTGTAGGATGAAAGTCTTCTGAAAAAAAAAAACAGTTTCTTAACTAATTTTGTCAATATAGCGTTATAACGTATCTATTAAACTAAGTTTATGTAAGAAATTTTATGTATATGGAAATAATGATAAGAATATTTAAAGTTGTGATATTTACAGAGTCTTATAAAATAAAACCGAAGTTGAAGTCTAAAGAAAACTCGTACCTTGTTTTTAAAGAGCAATAATTTCTTAACAAATTTACTCAGATCAGTTTTTAAAAATAACAAAAAATGTAAGCCTTCGGAATGAAGGCTACATTCAAGAAAGAAGACAGCCTAGGAGTACAGAATTACAGGTTTCCGTGTAATTACTATAGAGAGAGAAAAATAAGCAATATTCAGGAGTTGTCCGTAGATATATTCCGAAAGCTGTACTTCCTAGTGAGCTTGTACAAATTTTGTGATGTCAGAATTATTTTTATAAACCTTTTCGCATTGTTTTTCTTGCATTGAACCTTTCACACTACAGACATTTGTTGGCTCCGTTACCGCAGTTGCTAAGCTATTGAATTCGGCACCAAGGGCAGCGGGTTCGATTCCCACACGGGACTGCTATTATTGTGACCCGCAGATTAAAAGCCTGTGATTGTCCATGGGAAATCTGTATATGGAAGATGTCCTTACAACGCAGGGTAATACTATCCTACAGTGAATTTATAGTGTGAAAAAGAAAATAACCACACCATGTCATCTTAATTTAAAACGATAAAAGAAAGCGCGCCACCGGCTGTCGTTAAGTTGAAGATATAATTAGGCACGAGTGGTCACTCGTAAACGGCATTACCAGAATGCGACCAAATCGTTTTCTGTAGCGGTCATTGTCGTATTACGCTCTAGTCTCAATCTTTATACATTTTTTTTTTGTTTCCCATCGTCGTGGTTTTTGTCTGTCGCCGCTTGTGTCACTGTTGTATGCGTTTGTATTTGGGCACGGAACAGATTTAAAAATCGAACTAATTGGCGGAAAAAATTATTACATTTTTGGTAAAACTAATTCACGGCTCTTATCGCAATATATATTTATTTTAAACTTCATACGCCTCGAATACTTTAAGGCGTTCATGGTCGCGAGATAGACTGAGATGTTTGACAT